TATATATGTGTGTGTGTGTGTGTGTGTGTGTGTGTTACTGATAAAATAACAACGAAAATTTTTATATAACACATGTAATTTATTGATCTTGCTTTTCTATAAAAGACATTTTATGCTTGTTATTTTTGCTTATTTCAATGCACTGACTTTAATCTAATCTTTTATAACTTATCCATATGTAGTAACTGGATTTTATACCAGTTAGGCTCGATTACACCAATGTTATTTTGATTTTAAGCGAAGCTTAAAACTCTCTTTATCTCTTCCTCTTGTTCGGCTTTAAAGAGAAAAACTAAGAGTTTTAAGCCTTTCTTAAAGTTAAAGTACGTTGGTGCAATCGGGCCTTAAAGTAGTAACATGATGTAAGATCCAAAATATACATTTTACCAAGAAATCGGAGAATTTTATCTCATAATTATTTTAAAACCGCGTTCAGAGTTTTGTATAATTTAAAATACTTAATTTTGAAATAATAAACTATACCAAAAAATGGTTGATTCCAATAGTATACAAAATACAATAGGGATACACTATAATATCTAAGATATATTTATTGATGCAAGGGAAAATTATTCCTTTTGGATCTTACATTATTCATCTGAATTTCTCATCTCCGCATGCTTTGAGATGAAATTCAGCAACGAATCGTTCGAATCGTTAAGAATACGTATATTAATCTTGAATTTTATCAGATATTAATTGAATTAGTAATTTTCAGTTTAATTTTAAATTAAAGTTTTGCTCTTTATATTGTAATGTTTATATTAAGAAATTTAATTTAATTTTATAATATTCAAAATTTTTGAAATATCAAAACGTTAATAATTAAAAAATTTTTTTAATTTAAATTTATTTTTAATCCTAATAATTATATTTTTCGAACAAACGCAACGTTTTTCGTAATATTAATAGTAATTATTATTATTATTATTATTAATTAGTCATATTAATATCTAGTCAATTTTATTAATATTATGGCCTCTTCGCGACGCGTTCGTGTTTCGCGCATTGTTCAAAAGCATAAAATTTTACGCTTATTGTCGACGATGATAGTCGGCAGCAAAAAGGAGTATTTCTCCTTGCTGTCGATTTCTGGCATATGAAGCCAGATATTGGCTAGGAGCAACGAAAGGTGAGTTAAATTTGGTCAAAAGGAAGAAGAGATTCTATATGAAGGTAAAAAATTTTTCGTGCATGAATATGTATAAATATATATAAAAGTACATAAACACACATAAATATTCATAAACATTTATAATTATATATGAAATATGTCCATACATGTTAATACATCCTTCTCTTTTTTTGTAAAATTACTTTTTAGTGTAATAGAAATAATATGTAAACATAAAAAATAATTAAAGGGATAATTTTCGCATTGTTTGTTTTACAAAAACACAAGTTTGGAAAAATATAAAAAAATTGCTCATACATAATTATGCATAATTTTATATATGATTATATATAAGTAATTTTTTTATATTTCTTCAAATTTGATATTTTCTAAAACAATATGGACATATGTCATATGAAATTATGTTTATGAATATTTATACATGTTTATGTATAATTATGTATTTATATATAATTATATATATTTATGCATGAGAAATTTTTCACCGGGTGGGTTGGTGTGTAACACTAATCGTTTTTAAAAGATATATGTGTGTATAAATTGAATATTCGATAACTTGCGCAATTGCGAGTTCTTATATTTTTTGAATTATTTCTTATTTAAGATAAAAAGACAAAATAAATAAGACAAAAATAACCAACGAACAACAAGGCTAATAAGAGCCAATACGGATAATCAGGTTTAAGTTTTGTAGACTTTTTAATCTACTTTTTGCGTTTTATTATCTACACTGACTCTCATTAGCCTTGTTATTTGTTAATTTTTTTGTATTTTAAAGATGGAAACTCTGTTTTACTTATTATTATTTATTATTTACTCAATTTATTTAATGTAATCACATTAGATTTTTCCGCCGAATTTATCAGTACGCGATAGGACATGATTAGGCATTAGCAGCGTTCAGCAGAGAAAGCAGCTTTGCAACTGTTGTAAAATTCTTCAATATAACTGACTTATACATTCAAATCCATAAAGAACCAAAAGCAAAAACCAATCGTATTGAAGAATTTTACAACATTTACAAAGTTGTTTTCTCTGTTGAACACAGCCGTTAACGTATTATATTCGCGGTGTTATTATGAAGTAATGCAGGTAGGAATACACGGGTAGAAATAGGATACGCGAATAGGCACGAATAAATGAAAATACGAATAGGTAGGACAAGTAGTGGATAGGTAGGAATAAACACAATCATTTTAAATTAAAAAATTAAATGATTACAAATAGAATGACACTTAAATAAATTTCGCGGTCGGGTAATTAAATTTTATTTTAAAAATATAACATAAGTATAATAAATGTAAAAATGTACATAATAAATCTAACTAGTAAACTATGTGACATGTAGGTAAGAATACGTAGACGTCATATACACATACTTAATAATTGAAAAGGAGGGATTAAAAATTAAATAAAATTTTTAATTAATTTTAAATTTTATTTAATCAAGCAATATGGAGTAATATAACCTAATATCTCCTTTCTCACACACACACACACACACACACACACACACACACACACACACACACACACACACACACACACACACAATAATGTAAAATTGTACAAAGAAACTCATATGCTTGCTATTACAACATTTTTTATCTGGAACTTGATAATGAACTGAATTTTTGAAACTTTGTGCTCATTATTTTATTTTTTAACATTATATATTCGACTTTCTGATGATCACTGGAAGCCTAGCTTATGTTAGCGTTCAATGACCTACGGAAGGACGCCAATAACTTTGAACATAAAATTTTCATATAGCATTTTAGAATTAAAGGAGTTAATAAAGAAAATTTTTTTAATAGCGTAAGTGAGAAGAGACGTGCATTAGTAGTTTTAAAGACATTTAATTGGTCGAATCATCATGATTCAATTGGTATCATAAATGTTATATCAACAAAACGTGAATACTTAAATCAAATCTAATTAACAAAATATTTTAATTATATTTTTTATATAGCAATTAAAAAGCTAACAAAATACAAAATTTATTTCGAACACTAGTTTCTTTGAGAACGATTTTTGTATTTTTCTTCTTTGTAAACCATCATGTCTTTGTTAGTTAAGCTAGTCAAAAGTATACGTTCGATAGTACACGGTCCATCTGCAAATATAACGAATTACATTTTAAAAGTACATATTTTAAAATATTTTATTATAATAATATTTTATAAGAAAATATGTAAAACAAATTAAATAAAAAAAATTAAAAATATATAATTTGTGAAACAGAAACATAAAGGAAAACATGAATCACGAATTATGTAAAATAACATATATCTATTTTTAGTTATTTTAAAGTAAAATTTAAATGTTTATGGTCTGACTTCGAGTAATGTATATATATATACCGTGAATCATGATTAATATGAATAATGTTATGTATAGTATAGTTCTAAAAAATGATGAAAAGAAAATGAGAGCATAAAGTCCTACAACTTTTTTCCTTAAATTGTGCCTTCAAAGAGAAACAAGGAATAGAAAAAAAATCGATTTATACGACGGTTAATCCAATAGAAAGTTTTCCTACTTTCGGAAAAATATATTATAGAAAAACAAATTTAAAAATCAAAAAAAATTTTTTTAGTCTGTTACAATTATGTTACTTCAAAAAAGAAAATCGCTTTTTTTTCTATTAATTCGTTGTATCTTGAAAAAAGTCTTTTTATATCTTGTGTGTAGCATGTCTACTTTTCGCGAACTATTTACGATCAAAAAAATAAGAGTGCTTCTATAACATTTTCTTATTGCTTACCCAATGTTAAACAAGGATAAGATAAGAATGCACGTACACTGTTAAAAATTTCATGAAATTTAATATACTAATTTAACATACTTTTAAGTTACACAATTTGAACTCTATTTCCTGACATTATATTAAATTTAATGTATTGATAACTGAAAAGCATATTTGTGTACATGTATATGAAATTTAATAACACGTTCATTACATACAAATAACTACTGTAACTTAATTTTTAGTTAAATCATTCATTATTTAATTCCATTTATAACTACGACATTCATTTATCATGTAAAGGAAGCTTGTGGTTACATTTTTAACAATATAGACATTTCCGAATGCAACCCTAAGTAGTTCTTCGTGCCTTAGAAATACCCTCCGTATTCTCCTTGCTCCAAGCAACTTTTATCTGTTCACACTTTTGAAGTGTTGCACTATTTAGACAGTGTTCAATATTGATAAGGAAATTAAAACGGCGGTTAATAGATAGTTCACAAGTGAAAATTTGCATGCCGTGGTACAAACAAGGCGTAGAAAATTTTTTTTCATGATATAATAAATACATAGAAAAAATAGTATTTTTATAGGAAAATATAAATAGGATCTTTAATCTTTGTTTTTCTGTTTTTCCTAAAATGAGGAAACTTTCTTTTGGATTCTCGTAAAAGTTTAAAAAATAAATATAAGCACCAAATTAAAGTACAGTGGCAATTAAATAATTAGAGAGAGAGAGAGTACTTGTTGCAAAAAATATATACATTAATCCAAATTATTAAGTGAAAAGATTTATGTTATATATTAAATTTTCAAGAATACGAATGTATCTTTTCTTAAAACTTACCTAGTTGATACCATTTCGTATTCCCTGCATCCGCTCTAGCGGAATTTAATGCGTAGCGAAACGCTATTGGAATCACGTAACTCATACAAAACGATGATTCATCGAATGCTACAAACATATTAATCAAATACATCAATCGTTTAATGGCCCTGATTTCGATATCCTAAGCAGAAATTTTCTTTTCACTTTTATTACATTTTTTATTATTTTTCTTAACAAATTAAATGATTTATTGAAACGAGCGCTTGTAAATCAATTAAATTGATTAAATGATTTTTATGGATTTGAAAATTTTTTTTAATTAAAAATTTCAAGGAATTTTTTAATTAGGCAAAAATGTAGAAAATATTCGAGATTTTATTTTTTGTAGTACAAAAGTAATTTATTACTTTTGCAATATAAAAAATTAAGTCTTGAATCATATTCGAATTTCAACAAAAGTGTTTGAATCTTACATTTTGAACCGTAGATACCAAGTGAATCGTTCGTGTTATTGATTAAGTATACGCGGAAATCTGCAGGAATATCCTTCGCTCCTGGTGACTTATAATTCTATGAAAATAATCAAATACTTTAGATAATTTAATTATGTATTTTTAAGACAATCTCTCGGCGAATCGAAGTAGTAGAATTTTGGCAATATTAGATGTACCACAAAATTTCATATAGTTTGATAAACGTACCCATAATCTGTTATTTATTAATACTCCTGTATCAGGATTATACATTAGATTTTCAGAAGTCCAGTATCCTATTCCCATCACGAAAGCTCCCTCCACTTGACCAATGTCGATTTCGGGATTCAAACTTACACCACTATCAATCATCAAATCAACCCTTCCGATAACGTGCTGACCGGTCAGTACATCGATCTCTACTAGGGCAGTAGTGATAGCGAGAACGAATTCCTTTGGCGCATTCATCCTGCTAAAGTATATATATAAACAAAATGTATTATTTAATAATTTGTGTAGCATCTCTACATAAATTCAAAGTTTAAATTTATTTATTTATCAAAATCTTTCCAAAAAGCATATGGTAAATATGTTTAATAAATAATTATAAAAAATGCAAATGGAATATTTAAACTGCGTTTTTTACAATGTACACCTATACTAAGCAAAAATGAGACAAATGTTTCTAACAATATTTTCGGAAAAATATTAAAGTGCTTTATGATATAATGTGACATAATATATCATTGTCAAATATGATTTAGTGACATTTACGTATAATGTGCGCATAAATCAATGCCTTGTTCATACGCTATAAAAATGAGATCCTTCCATGTCAGATTTTTATTTTTTTCTCTTATCGGTTCGAGTCTATTCAAAATCTGTTCGCAAGCATGCATTGTTGCCTGAAAAAAATAATCGATGTCATCATGAAGTTTTACGTTATGCATACTGGGTACGAGAAAAGTCCTGGTCTGGTAAAATATCTTGAAAATAAAGAATTTTTGTGAAAAATGATGCAGACGAAAATTGTAAGGTTTAAAAATATTTATTTATTGATCGCATCTGTTTGACTTTAGATAGCATCGCCAAAGTCAGATCAAGGTCTACAACATAGAAAAATCTTTATTGTAGTGTTTTAAAAAACTCTTTACATCAGCTATTAGATTCTGGAATCAAAAACAGCATCCCGTTTAAAAAAATCGGTGCGGTATTGATCTGACTTTAGCATCACCTAAGATCAAATAGAAATGATCGGTTGGTAGATCATTTTAAAGTCTGCAACTTTTGTCTGAATTATTTTTCCCAAAAATTTGTTTCCAATATTTATCGATTCGGGACTTCTTATTCATCCTTATGTGTTACGTTATATATATATGACACTGTCTTTCACAGTGATAGAGATCAATTGAATTCTTACAAATCCACAGTATTCTTCAGTAATGCTGTGTCCTGTAGCTGAATTGTTGGGTGTAGCTAAATTATTGCTTCCTTTAACAGAGATCATTTCAATATCGATATTCAATGTTTGAGCTGCCATTTGTGCGATCTAGTGTTCAAGAATTATTTTTACTTAAATTAGATAGAAATATATATAAATTGTCTTACTAAACCGAATTTTTTCTAATTTCAATAAATTTATGAGGTAATTAATCTATTCAAAATCCAAAAAATATGTATCAAGAATAAAAAGTGATAAAAATCTAGAAATAACAAATAACAAAGTTTTTGATTCTAATTTTTTAAAAAGTAACTCAAATTCAGAGAAATAAAATTTTTAAACATAATTTTCCATTAGTTTATTGATAATTAGATGAAAAGCATGAAACAACTTACTTGGATAAACCATTGCATTTTCATACCTTTGTATTTATACCTTGATCGATTTCAATTCCGCTATGCGTCACGCATACCGAACCGTCGCGAGCGCAAACTGATACTATTGCGCTGTGTTGTCCTTCAAATGTTATCAAGTATTTCATCGGTATCATAGCAATTCCTCTTTTCTTCCAACGATTGCGTAAATTGAACCAAATAACTTCATTTTTATTTTCCTCGTATTCGGTCTTTTTCAATAAATTCTCTATCATGGGACTTAAAAGGATTTTATCTATTTTATTCATATTCGCCAATCTGATCTTCATCGAATCCTTTTTCGTCACTTTCGCAATATGCTCCATTAAATTTTCCATAATAGCCACTCCTTCCGTGGATCCTGATGCCCGACAAAACGTGTTTGACGGTAAATTGGTTCTCACATCGAATCCGACGATCGTCCAAGTATTAGTTAAATAGCAGTTTCTAATAATAAAAGATCGTTTGTGAATATGTTTAATTAAAAACGGATGATTAAATATACACAATAGAGTGTTTTCAAATTTGATTCAGTTTATTACTGAAAATTATCTTTATCACAATTAATTAAAGTAATTTTTTTATTAATGTTAATATTAAGTATTTTTTTTTTTTGGAATATTTCAAATTTCTTTTCAGAGAATAGAAATAAAAATAGTTTAATTTATTATAATATTATTATATATTATAATATTATAATATTATTAATTTATTATAACATCCCCTTTTGCTTAAAAAAATTGCCACTCAATTTCAAAACGCTGTGCATAGAAAATGCAATAAACGAATAAATAATTTTAATATTAGAGAAGTATCTTATTATTATATATTATTATGATAAATTCCTTAAATTTTTGTTCATATTACATGTTGTATTTCCATACCTTTCCATGTAGGAAGCTATCATGGCTGCTTGTGGTTCGTTGAAACTAGAACCGCAGTTGCTCCAGTGTTTCGATTTGAGATACTGTATAACTCCGTCATTGTTTACTCCGACCTCATATTCTTGACGCATAGAATATCTTTTGCCTATCGATTGCATATCGCTCTCCGTCGTCATGACGAATCGCGTTGGACGCTTCAGTTTATGACATACCAATGCGCAAGCACATGAAATTTGCGCGTTGCGTGAGATTTTCGATCCGAATGAACCGCCAAGTCGATTGACATGCACATTGACGCTAAAAAAAATTATATTCTCACGATTGGTGTTAAGTTATTTTACAAAATGCATTTTTCTAATATTATTTTATTTACTTATCATTACTTATTTAATTTATTTCATTTTATAAGAAAAAAGAAATAATTTATTGTAATTCTTATTCTATAATATTAAAAATTTTATATTTACAATTCCAATTTTTATTTGAAATAACCTTTCTTTAATTTTCTATAACTTCATAATTTGAATAGTATTAATATTGACAATAGAGACATTATTGAGTAATCATAAGAGCTCGATGCTTTTGTTAGAAAAGAGTGGTTATGTATAATGATAACTTTGTTACATTATATAAAAGTACATACAAAAATTTGTGCAAACATTACACAATTTAAGCGGAAATATTATAAATATTCTATTTTACAGAACTAGTACTTTTACTTCTATTTGTATAAATATGTCTTTATAGAAGAATTTCTTTATAGAATAACTGTCTTATATAATCTTTATATAATAGAATAATTATGATAATTCATTTTATAATTTTATAAATGTTCCAATTTTTGTGATATATATAATGTAGGTACCTATGGTGATATTACACATAATATTGTATTTTTAAATTCGTAAGAATTTTATTTTCAACTTTATTTACATATGTGAATAAAATATCTTTTTAATAATGGATTTCAAAAATATCCCACTATAATTATCATAGTTTTTAATACTATTACAATATAAATTATATTATTCCAATTGAACTAACATAATTACTTTTGACATAAAAGAGATTGATAGATTAATGAGTTACCTATTATTTTGAACATTAAGACAAGTAGCGATCGATACTTGAATGAGATTCATCCATTGTGACGATGGATAGACATCTATAATATCATTCTCCACTGGAACGCATACGCAGGATTGAGTTTCAAGACTATGGTGATATTGACCACCACATTGGAAAACGCCCTTTATCACGTGTTTAATATCGTTTCCTGTAAAACAATAAAAAATGATCTTCTTTTTAACTCTTAATGATCTTCTCTATGATCTTCTTATTATTTTTTATTTTTAAGATAACTATTCACTTTGGCGAAATTATCTCTATTGAATATGACCTTGACATAGAGTGATCTAATCTAGATAAACTAGGACATTCCCCTGATTAAAAAGTTGTACAAAAATAGGACGCAGATACTTAAAAATAGGACAAAAAGATGACACATTTTAGATTAAATACAGGAAGATACATTTTAGATTAAATTGTGGTACAAAGCAAATATAATAGTATATTTTAATTCAGAGGTAGAAGAAAAAGTACATAAATGTAAAAATCTTTCTAACGTTAAAAATAATGTATTTACAAAAAAACAAAGTTATTAGTTATGAAAGATTAAAGATTAGACAAAGAATAAATATTATCTTTTATATAGTCACCGTTTCAACAGGTAAGACACAAAATCATAATAGAAATGAGATAAAATTAGAACATTTTATAATTACAATGGTGTCATTCGATATGCTTTTGACGGTGATTTTGTAATAATTCCTGGGATTATGATTTTTGTGATTTTTACGTGAAGAGTTAAATTAAACTAAAAAAAATCTTCTTGAAAAGTTCTAAAAATTCTTTAACTAAAAATCTTCTCAAGAAATTCAAAAATTTATGACGAAATCGTTAAAAGTATATCGAATATCATCAATAACGTATATCAAAATGAACATCATTGAAGATGACTTTCCTAAATTGAATAATTACACATTTCTAATAACTTGTACTATTTTGCAAGTTTACAAATGTGTAGCTTATTCCATTTTTTAGCAAAACTTGACATGTACATTTACTGCTATCTTTTTCTGATAATCACAATCAAAAAGAAAACAATTTAATTAAATGTTATTAAATCTGTTGTTCTTTATCAATTTGTACCTTTCGTCTTTGCTGGAATATTGGCGCTTTCCCTGATTCTTGTATTGTCCTGCGAATTTAGAGCATCTTCAATACTTATCACAGGCTTCGTTTTAGGAAGAGGTTTCTTATATATAATTTTTACTAATTTTGCAGCCTCATTCGCTGAATTATGCGTATTCGCGACGATTACGCCGACCGGTTGGCCGGCATACAAGACATCCTCTTCAGCGAATAGCAACTCATCCTCTGGTAAAGACGTCATCTTGCTGATGGCAGAAATACATAGATTCTTTCCCGGTATATCTTTGGCGCTGAAAAACGCCACTACGTCCTTTATTTTAAATGCGTTGCTTGTATCAAAACTCTCGATCTTGCCATTACCGATTTCGGTGACGACGAAGGCACAAAACACTTCTCTAAAATATGGACCCATATCATTGCAGTATTGAACTTCGCCCGATGTCTGCTCAAGAGCTTCTAACTTTGGCATAGGTTTACTCACTGGCCATATAGCCTTCTTCGTGTTGTATTCTTGCTTAGCTAAGAAAATTGTGTTTTTTTTATACATATAATTTCGAACAATCAGTCGAGATACGAGCTCTTTGTACATAACTCAATAATAGCTATACTTCAATATTTCTCTGATATCAAAACCATCAAGATCATTAATGACCTTCCGTACTTGTTAGCATAATAAATAATGAATTGTAATATACAAGAATAAGATTAAAACACAATTCAGAAACAACTGGAATATCTTCTAACGATGTTATTTATAAGCATATCCACTCTGGATTTGAGTTCTCTTTTGCAGGTAATTTATACACGACTTTCATACTGAAAAGGTCTCAGATCCCGAATAGGAACGTTTGCAGTTACTTTGTTCGAAAATTGTTCCAATCGCTTGCGAATTATATATCATATCGCTTATCATCTTGTAAAAATATTATTATTTACATAAACTGCATAGATTTAGATAAATATTTATAATGGAAATGTCTATAAAAATATTCTCGATTTTATTATATGTACCTGAAGAAAGATTTCGTTCTAATAAGGTGGCTCCACTACGATAATATGGAGCTACTCTCTCCGGTTGAATACTTAACAAAAACTTGTAAAATAATCCTTCGGCAAGAATCTTGCGAAATTCTGGGGAGTAATCCGGGAGCACATGATCTGGTTGCAGTTCGACATGTAACTTTTCTATAATTAATTTTAGTATTTTCTCGTCGAAGATAGATCTTCCGGCCACCAATTGCTCTGTCTGTTTTGCGTGCTTAAAATGCTTGTTAATGCCACAGAAAATTATATTAGGAAACGCCAACACCTTTTTAAAAAATATTGTAAATGTAAACAAGTAAAATTTGAAGAACATTGAAATATGAGTGAGTAATTAATGATAAATAATAATATAAACAATTCGTAACCTTGCCGTCGTTGTGATCGAATGTGAAGAGAAAGCCGGCGTCGACGTGACCACGAGCGTTCTGAGCTCTAGGCATAATCTTGTAAAATCTACATACATACTTGATATCGTCTAGCGATGGTAACACAACGCTATAAATAATTTTATGGTGCATATCGAAGTTCAGAAATTCAGACAAATATAAACTTTCCTTTTCGGAGGGACTTTTCAAGACGTGTACTTGAGTACCGACAGTCTCTAATATCAAAAACAAATCGGATGAGAATTCTTCGTGCTGATATTTCAGCATCAAATTTCCGGCTATGGTGCCAATATTTCGCACGGGAACGTTTGCAATTATTTCTACATGCTGGGCCAAGTGACTTAGATATTTAAATCCGGTATCATTTGAATATTTCTGAAATGTCTCTAGCGCGGTAGTAAGAGTTAAACTTCCTCCTAGGACCAAAATTGAATCGGTTTTTTCAATGTTATACAAGTCTGGAATGTCATTTATGTCTATGTACATATCTTTTTTGCTCGAAGGATAAACACCTGCAAAATTAAATTTCCACAATGTTATATCTATATCAAGGTTAATAATATCTAGGTAATAATATCTATATCAATTATTTTTATATTTAAATAAATGTGAGAATTAACCACAATATCAAATGTGACATTGTGGAATAATTGGAATTGTCGCAACTTTTCGATTTTTAAAGTCTTAGTAAAGTTTGATATCATACAGGATTGTTATTGTTTTCTGAGAATTATATAATTAACAAAAATCAACATAACATATTTAATTTTAGAAAGGTAACATAAAATATTTAAATTCTTTAACTAAGTGATGATAATATGAATACTTCAGTTTTATCAGAGAGTCCGCCTCTTCGCAATTTAATATTATTATTATAAGTATTTACAATATTATTTTTATAAGTATTTATCCGATAAATATAATATATATTCAATATTAATAATGCTCTGTAGTACATGTGTATATATTGATAGTATTATTCAGATGCTTCAGATTTTGATATGCCTATCCAAGTAAATCAGAAATAATAATTATTGTGATTATTTGATTGATTACTTTAATTGATGGCTTTTGTGTTATCATATATCAAAGATAATCAGCGAGCACAAATTTTGCTCCATTGATACATCTCAGATCAATAACTATCCATTATTGAGTCTTGTGCCTATCATCTTATTCATATTACATCTTCATATTACAACGCGTATAAAAATATTCTTTATGTGTATATATATTTGTTAGTGGCTGTGTCATTTAATATAGAAAAATTACCATGTGCAGTATTTCCTCCATTTAATATATACGTTGCCTTTGGGTTTTCCTCGAATATCGTAAATAGATCCTCGATCATGAAAACTTTGTAGAAGTGAGCATCCTCTAACTTTATACTCAACATTTTTTTTTCGTCGGAAGGTTGTTTATTATAGTAACTACGTACACATGGCATTTTATTTTTCCGGCAAGATTTGATCTTGTATAACTCCTACGAAATATATTTCATTATATTTATAACAAGATGAAACAAAATAAAAAATGTTATTATAATATAATAACGGATAAATCCTTATTTCTATAATAACAAATTTAAGTTGTACCTGTGAGAATAAAATAAAACTGAAATCGTAATTTCAAAATGAAGATTAAATTTTTGAAAGAGAAAAGAAATTTTTTAAACCTCAATATCTTGAATGTCCTTCACCATTGATGGATGTGCGTCGATAGCAAATCCTTTGAACGCATCCAAAATTGCACGATATCCGGTACATCGACAAATGTTGCCACCAAATGAATTTTCAATCTGCTGCATAGACAAACCTTTCCCGAGACTGCAAAATATATACATCAATGCATTAAACAACAACGCAAAGTTCTTTCTTATTTGACGTTTAATTATACTTAATTGTTATGTTTACTTGAACTGTACATAGCAGTATTGTACAAGTTCATGTGTGATTTTAGGTTACAATTTGTTTGTTTATTATGGGACAATTACAATTATAGGAATTTTTTTCTAATATAATGATATGTATGTTAATTTTTTAAAGGTACTTTTTTGTATGCGACTTTGTTTCAACATCCAATAATTCTGGAAGGATTTTATCATAAAGGTAGAAAAATAATATGCACGAAATATAATATTTCTTTAAAAATTAATTAGCAATTTTAATAATTCATACCTGTACATATTCATCACCATGCCAGGAGAGCAATATCCACATTGCGAGCCATTTTTTTTAGCAAGTGCAGTTTGAATTGGATGATAACCTTCTCGCTTGTTACCTAGAGCTTCAGACGTTATGATATGCCATCTGTATCATTTTATAGTATGAAATATTAGTATTAACATATATTCGGAAATATTAATGTTAATATTAATATATATTCGGTATACTCAGAAATTAAAAAATTAAATATAAAAAATGAAATAGGTAAACATAAATATAAAAAAAGAGATTATAATATTTTGATGAATAATTTCTTGTATAGGAGATGAGAGTTTTATAGAGAGTTTTATGCTCGTAATGTCATTACATAAATCTTTAATTAGAAATTAAGTTTGAATGTTTAGTGTTTCTTTAATACATACACATATACATACCTGTCACAGTTTAATACCAATACAAGACATGAATTTACGGCTATCATTTTGTCCTTGAATATTGCACTTACGATACAAGCACCGCAATCACCTGCATGACACATCGCTTTTATGTCTCGTAATTTCGCATATTCGCGCATGAAGACAAAGAGGGTCGTGTCGGCGGATACATTATAATCGAATACTGAAAGCGATTTTACAATTTTCAAATCGACTGATAAAATTCTAACATACATATCTTTTATTTCTAAAGTTCTTAATCACAATTCTATAATCAAGTTTTATAATTTCTGTATAATACAGTTTATATGATTAATTCTTATATAAACGTGATAGACCTTTTTTACATAGTAAATAAATGTTATAGTTTTTGATTAAATTTTTTAAATACATTTGAGGTTTCTTTAGATTATAATATCTCAATCCAGCAAACATCAAACTATATGTTATTACATGTTATTCGTAATTTCCCACTCAATGATATATCCGTAATATAACACACATGTTATGTTATATCGTTGAGAGGTAAATTACAAATAATGTGTACGTTACAGAATTTGATGTTTGCTGGGATGTTACTTTGTCTTTTAAAGATATGTTCAAAAAATTTTTATTTTCTTGGTTATATATTTCATACAAAGAATACATACCCGAATACGGTATTCCATTAATTGTAACATATATCTTGTCGTCGGATCTAAACATGTTAGATTGGGAAATATTTTAATGTTATCTTTAATAAAAAAGATACAGATGATATTTTGTAAAAACTTTTTTATCTGGTTTTATTATGCAGTAAATGTATAAATAAATAAAGAATAATAAAATATTTTTTGTTAAAATAAGAGATTTTGGATAAAATATTAATAACAAAATTTCATTTTATATGTTTATCGCATCAACATTTCAATAGTTTTTGCATGTTATAAATATTTGTCAGACTTACACTTTTGCGGTTTCCATTTTCACTCATCAGTCGTGTCAAATTACGCCTAACTATCCCCTGTCTAAAGATATGAAGTACTTAAAGCACTGTAGGATAGGAAGTGTACTAGGAACGCTGTCTAAAGATCATAAAAATGATAAATATTAGATATTCGATAATATATTACAATTTTTTTTTCTAGTAGGTAATAAATAACAATGCAAAACTGTACGCAGAAATATCGTTGTGGAGCAAATCACATTTATGAAAATGTTATCATATATACATTAACATATAAAATATAAATTTTGCATATATTATTAAAAAAAAATTTCAGTAAAGATTATTTTGCATGAAATCGATTAGCAAATAAGGAAGAACGCTTTTCGCTTAAATTTTTTTATATATGTACATGTAAGTCTTATTTTCTACACCGAATATTTTATAATGTCCTGGATGGGCATAATGCCAGAAATGAATTCAGAACGTATAAATAATTCAAAATTTTCATGTAGATATTTTTTGTTATTTAACCTTATTTAGAATTATAAATGTTTTCGTATCACTAATTTTCGTTACAATTTCAGCCAGAGTATCGACATCACACTTCCTCACGTTCACGCGTCTTCTTACTGACTATCAGTAAACACTTTCTCTGGATATATATTGAATGTTAGTTTGGTTTGCAATGATATGTGAAAATGTAATGTTGGTAAACAATGTCAAATAGGACAGATCTCTGTACGGATCTATTGCGTCTTAAATCTGTTTCTGAATATATGTCCATATTATTATGTACTCACCTTATGTACTTCGTACATATATTCTTATATACAAGATTTTTAAATTTATTCCAGGTTTTATATTAACAAGCAACTTTTACCAAGAAGCATCATGCGTCTTTGTTAATTGAACTGGTTAGACATATATATTTTCTGTAGTACATTGTTCATTTGCAAAATGCAACATCTGATCCTTTCACAGAAAAAGACAGCAAATTATGACTATCTGATTTCTGTTTGCATGATATTCACATTGTAATTGCCTCTTGAAAACAAAAATGAGACTTTGTTTAATCCGCATATTTTCAAATTATTCCCGTTCAAAATCGAAGAATAGTTATCACATTTTTATACCATTTGACCGTATTCTTTGTATCTCTGACTTTTGGTTTATTAGCGATCACTAATGAATCAAATTGCTTAATTATAACGCAACAGCTTTATATATTAGAAAAAATATGTGATTAATTTCATTTGCGTGACATTAATGACATTAATAATTGCGTGCGATTATCTTAGATGTAGCTATTATGTGACATTAGTGTACAGTTAAAATGATCGCGTTTATCGTCAATATTTTTTGTAATATTTATATTCAATGATTACATAATTTTTCTTTTTTCCGCTGATGAACGATTAATGTTGCTTTATATACATTATAGTACTTTTGAGTACAAATGCGTAATGTACTTAGAGATATTTTCAGTAGCTATATGTGTTATTGTGTATTAGATACTATGTACATGATTTTAATTTTATAATTTGTTTATTTGTTATTGGGCAATTAATAATTATTGTAACAGCATAGAAATTCATTTATTAATTTATTAATATATTAATTTTTCTTAAAAATATACATTCTTGAGTGCTTTGTTGCAACGCTAAAAATAATTCTAAGAAGATTTTAGAATGAAGAAAAAATTTAATAAATTTTAATATTTCATAGTATTACGTAAATTTATAAATTAATTAATATTTACAAATCAATTAATCTTTTATTCTTACGTATCCTACATAAAGCTCGACTTAAATAACTTAGATGAAATTTTGATCAAATAAAAATAGTACAAGAATAACATGTCTAGTATAAAAAAAAACACATTATATATTCTTCTATTTTACGGCAATTGCTTATATGTTATTTAATTTGGCATAATCCATTATTATATTGTTATAAACTTCATTCCTTACGTATTTTACTTCTCTTACATACATTTTTAATATAAGTATTGTAAACACACACACATGGATGTCTTTAAGATATCTGCTTATGCATATCTAGTGACATAATAATTAATTTTGCACATTTACACGAGAAAAGTAATATATAATTTAATTTTTAATACTTTATGTATTTAATTTTTTATAGTAATTAATTTTTTTAAAGACTTAAATTTTTAATATTTTAATTTTTTTACAGTATTGCAATTGATAAATTTTACGTATAAGAAAATAGGCCTCACATAAGTAACACAATAATTTTAACCATTTTTTTATTAACTGAAAAAATTAAAATTAATATTTTTATATTTTTCGTACTTATAATGACAAAATATTTATAATCTTTATAAAAACATATATTAGAATTATTAACTTAAAAGAACAAAAATAAGCATATTATTATTTATGCGATATAGAGTATGCGTGTAACCTAATATTTTTTCGTAACATACCAAAAGAATATTAAAATACAAAATTGCTTAACAATTGAAATTACCTATCACACTCTCTATCATAGCATTATCTTTATCAAGAAGCCTTCAAACTTATATACAAGAAACAAACTGAATTTTTAAAACCTTTTTTTTATCTTGACTTTTAGTATATTTATCGCATCTTTCTCCTGATTATCACTGAAAGGCCAGCTTAATACTCAATAATCAATGATCTAGCGCATTTTCTCGCATAATTTATACATCATAGTAAAGTTAATGAAGTTTAATAAAGAAAAATTTACTAAAAATTAGTATAAATGAGAAAATGAGTCTTAGCAATTTTAAAGGCCTATTAATTAATCGAATTATTATAATCCCACCATTATCATGAAAGTTTCACATCAACAAAACATATGAATGCATAAATTATGTCCTTCATTTTACAGAATTTTTGAATTATTCTATTTAGATAGCAATTAAATGGTAACTGACAGAATACAAATAATTTATTTTGAACACACGATTGTTTGAAAATTTTTCACTTTCATTGTTAAATCATCATTTTATCTTTGCTGGTCAAACTAGTTAGAAGTATACGTTCGGTAGTACACGGTCCATCTGCAAACATTACGAATTACATGTGAATATATATATGTATATACACATATATCAAAACATTATTTTATTATGATAGTTTTCTACAAGAAAATATGCATATATGTAATTGACATTCACCCGTACAAAAACAGACCATTAAATTTTTAATATCTTTGAGAAGTGATATCTCAATGGAAAATTATTATAGCGATGAAATTATTATAGCGATGAAACAAAGCTCAAACTAAAACTTGAACATTCATCTTAATAATTGTGCAGATCAAATTTAAAATACACAAAGTGAATTATTAAATGACGGAAGTTGAGGAACGACATTGAAAGAGAGGGAATAAAACTTCTTATTCGGATTAATTGCGTTGCTCAGGGAAATTGGTTGTAAGGCACAAAAGTGTACGAGTCTTTAAAATCATTAATTTCAAAATAAATTCATACTTGGAATATTTTTCTACAATTCTTTTTGACAAAGTATTACAAAACGGACAATTTTTTCTTGCACTTATTGTAAGTACTTAGAAATCATTATACAAAATTTTATCAAAAAAGAAATTAAAGTGTGAATTTCAAATCTTGCCTGAGCAACGCAATAGTTTGAATAAGGAATTCTTTTCTAGTTTTCAATGTCTACCATATTATAACACACACTGTGTAATTCAAATTTGACATGGTTGTCAAGGGAAATGTTTCAATGCTTTAATTTGAACTTTGATTCATCTCGCTATAATTACTTTTTATTACAATATCATTATTTAAAAATTTATGTTAAATTTAGTGGCTAATTTTTTGCGGGTAAAAGTATAAAAAATAATTATAGAAAAAACAATGAATCACACATTTAATTACATAAACAAATATATTTTTAATTATTTTACTATAAAATTTAGTGCGCGCGCGCGTGTGTGTGTGTGTGGGTGTGTGTGTGTGTGGGTGGGTAGCCAACTTTGGATAATATATACCGTTAATCATGATTAATATGAACATGGTATTATTCATATAATATTTTCAAAGAAACGATTAAAATGATATGAGACCATAAAATTCGACAACACTTTTCCTTAAATTGTTGTCTCATTCATTTCGTTTTAAAAAGAAAAGAAAATAAAAAATCAAATTGTAACAGGATTTAAAAAATGTTTTTTAAATATAAGCATGACAATAAATTTCAATGGCGATTAAATTAGTAATTGTTATACAATTACTAATTTAATCAATTACAATACAATTCGTAATTGTTGCAAGAAATTAATACAATTAATAAAATTAGCTAATTGGATTGTATGTTGAATTGTCAGGGATGAATGTTTAATATTTCTAAATAACACTTACCCAGTTGATACCACTTTTCCTTTATCTTTGCATTTGCTCTAGCGGAATTCAAAGCGTAGCGAAACGCTATTGGAATGACATAACTCATACAAAGCGGTGCTTCATCGATTGCTGCAAAGATGCAATATTTTCAGAGTTAATCAGAAATCGATCTCTTAATATTTCTATTTCTGATACCCTAAACAGAGATCTTCTTTTATTTTTAAATGTTTTCTTATTGAAATTTAATGAAAGGTTTAAGACGATTAAATCTTTTTGAGCCTGAAAATTTTTCTAAACAAATTTTCAGGAATTCTTAAATTTTATACAAGCATGTAAAAAAATCTTTCATATTTTAATAAAAAGTAATTTGAATAAGAGGATTTTGATTTTACATTTTAAATTGTAGTCATCAGCTGTTTTGAATGAGTTTTGGTTTAAGTATACGCGAAAATCTTCGGGAATATCCTTCGCTCCTGGTGGTTTGTAATTCTATATAAATAATCAGATATTTTAGATAATTATGTATTTTTAGCACAATCTAGCGTTGCGTTATATACGTAATGAGCATAAGGTACCATTTTATCTTTGTTCGCCGACTGTTAAACAAAAATAAAATGATACATCATGCGCATTATACGTGCAACGGAACGTAGTCCCGAAGTAGTTTTAGCGATATTATTGAAATTTGATAACAACATATATTCCCATCATCATGGGTATATAAGGTACATTAAAAATTGATAAAGACAACATATATACCCATGTTCTGTCAGTAATTAATTTTCCTGTATCAGGAGCGTACACCAGATCCTCAGAAGTCCAGTATCCTATTCCCATCACGAAAGCTCCCTCAACCTGACCAACGTCAATTTTCGGATTCATGCTTATACCAGCATCGATCATCAAATCAACTCTTCTGATAATATGCTGGCCAGTCAATAAATCGATCTCGACTTCAGCAGAAGTGACGCCGTAAATAGCGTAAGGCTTCATCCTATCTTGCGTTGGCCCAGTCATCAACCTGCCAAGAAATGGAATGTGTTGTATAATAATTAATAATGTGTGTAGCATTTAAAATCTCTTCGTACTTTATAAATACAAAGTTTAAATCTATTTCGAAATCATTCCAAAAGCACATGATAAATACGTTTTAATACTAATTATATAAAATACAAATAATTTCTTTAAACTATACATTTTTTATAATGTATAACTTATTTTAAGCAAAAGATGAGATAAGTGTTTCTTCCCAATGGAAGTAC